AACAGGGGGCAAGGGGGGGGACAGGAGAAGGGGGGGGATGAGAAGGGGGGGGGAAAGGGGGGACAGGGAGAGCGGGGGGGGGACAGTGAGAAGGGGCGGGGGAGGCCGGGGAGAGGGGGGGGGGGACAGGAGGAGATTTGAGGGGGAGGGAGACGGGGAGGGGTGAACCAGGCAGTTAGGTGGCTCGAGCAAAATCTGACATCTACCCCTCCCTCCCATTCCCTTACCATGGCGATGATTTAGTCTCGTCACGCGGACGCGTGTCGTAGCGGACCTGTGGCTCCGCGCGCGTGTGCGTAGTGTGTGGTGGTGCGCGTGCGTGCGTGTGTGCGTGATTGTGGTTGTTGTGGTGGTGGTGTGTATGTGTGTGTGTGTGCGTGTGTGCGCGTGTGCTGTGGTGTGACGTGGTGTGGCGTCTTGGTGGTTTGGTGGTGGGCCAGGTGCGTACGTGCGTGATGGCGGTGGTGGTGGTGGCGGTGGTGGTGTGTGTATGTGTGTGTGTGTGTGTGTGTGTGTGTGTGTGTGCGTGTGTGTCTGTGTGTGTGTGTGTGTGTGTGCGTGTGTGTGTGTGTGTATGGGTGTGTGTGTGTTTGTTTTTTTTTGGGGGGTTGTGTGGTGGCGGTGCGTGAAGTGCGTGCGTGCGTGCGGATCGTGCGTGCGTTGCGTGCGTGCGTGCGTGCGCTTTTACCTTTTTATTCTGTGCGTGCGTGTGCTGTGCGTGTGGTGTGCTTCACTACCCTCGTCTTCCATGTGCTGTGTGTTTGTGTCTGTGTGTGCGCGCGAGTGAGGTGGTGTGACGCGGGGTAGCGTGGTGGTGGTGGGTGGGGTAGTGCGGTGGTGGTGGCGGTGCGCGGTGGTTGTGCGCGTGCGTGCGTGCGTGCGTTGGTGGGTGGAAGTGGCGGTGGGTGTGCGTGCGGCGGGGCGGGGCGTGGTGCGGCGCGGTGGTGGCGGGCGGATGGGCGCGCGAGAAAGAGGCCCGCGCTGGGGCGAGAACGCCATCCTGAACGACGGAGGCAAAACATCGATCCGAAAATGAGGCCCACGCTGCAGCGGGAGCACGATTCGGAACGATTCGGGAGCAGAAATGAGGCCGGCGCCTCAGCGAGAGCAGCACTTTGAAAAAAACGCAGGCGAAAACCCAACTCACGGGAATCCTGTGTAAAAAACAATACGCGGGGGGGTCGAATATTCCCAGCACGCCATCAGGGGAAGAGGGAGAGTAGTTTTCATATCGAGTAATTGTGGAGAGCGGGAGGGGGGAAAGGAGACAGAAGGGGTGGGGGGAGGGAGGGAGTGAAGGAGAGAGGGGGGGGGAAGGGGGGAACAGGAGAGATGGGGGGTGGGGGAGGGACAGGAGAGAGGAGGGGGGGGGAGGGAGAGGTGGGGGGACGGGGTGGACAGGAGAGAGGGCAGGGGGGGGAAGGAGGGTGGCGGGGGACCAGGAGAGAGGGGAAAGGGGGGGTGGACGGAGAGGGGCAGCGGGGGGGCAGGAGAGAAGCGCGGGGGGAGGGAAAGGGACAGGAGAGAGGGGGGGGGAGAGAAGGCGGGGTGGACAGGAGAGAAGGGCGGGGAGGGAGGACAGGAGAGAGAGGGGGGGGGACAGGAGAGAAGGGGGCACAGGAGAGAGGGCGGAGGGGACAGGAGAGAGGAGGGGAACGCTGCAGAGGGGACAGAGAGGGCTCTTGAGCTCGCTCAAGCTGCTTCTGGGCCAGCACGCTGGCGACTGGTCAGGCTGCAGAGGGACCCTATTATTATTCCTCCTCCTCCTCCTCCTCCATCTGCTCCTCCGCTCCGTCACCTCCTCCACCTCATCATCGTCATGAATCATCAGCGTCGTCATCCTCATCCGCATCCTCCCCCTCCTCCTCCTCATCATCATCATTATCCCCATCATCGTCATCGTCATCATCATCCCCATCCTCATCATCATTCTCATCCTGATCCTCATCCACATCCTCATTCTTCTCCTCCTCCTCCTCCTCATCACCACCACCACCACCACCACCACCACCATCATCATCATCATCATCATCATCATCATCATCATCATCATCATCATCAGCATCAGCATCAGCATCAGCATCATCAGCATCAGCATCAGCATCAGCATCAGCATCAGCATCAGCATCAGCATCAGCATCAGCATCAGCATCATCATCATCATCATCATCATCATCATCATCATCATCATCATCATCATCGTCAATATCATCATTATCATCCTCATTCTCCATCCGCATCTTCATCCCCGCCTCCTCCTTCTCCACCTCTATCCCATCATCCTCCTCTTCCTCCTGCTCCTCCTCCAACTCCTTCAGTTTCTCCCCATGCTCCTTTCCTCCACCTCCTCCCCCCTTACTCCTCTCCTTTTCCTCATCCTCCTCTCGTCCCCCTCCTCCTCCACCTTCCATCTCAAACATATGACGTACATGATTCCCTGTTTCTCCGCCGACGTGCCCCCTGACACGTTGAGGCATGGTGGACCGCCAAGTGCTGTCTGGCAGGGTTTCGATACCGACACCGCTTCCCAAGGCTTTGTCGGCGCCCAGAGACGTCCCTGGCGCTCTCCACAGCGTCCAAAATGCCCAAGATGGCTTCCAAGACGAACTCGGAAACTACCAGAGCCGCCAACATGGCCGGATACCGCTCCAAGACTGCCGAAGAGGCCCCAGAGAAGCCCCAAGAGCGCCCCACCAAGACCCCCAAGAAAGCCGAAAGAAATACACACCATTGAGTTTCCATATGCTTACCAATGTTTTCACGCTATCGCCTTTCGAGCTTCCGATACGCCAAGTCGGCCCTAGAGACGCCCGCCCGTCATCAGTCATCCGTCCTCGTCGTCGTCGGTCGACGTCGTCGTCGTCGTCGTCATCGTCGTCTTCGTCGTCGTCGTTCTCGTCGTCGTCGTCGTCGTAATCGTAGTCATCGTCGTGAGTCGCCTTCGTTGACCCGTTCGCCGGTCGTCGTCGTCGTCATCGTCCGTTCCCACATGCACCATCACCCCCGTCATCATCATCGTCGTCGTCATCGTCGTCGTCGCCATCATCATCACCGTCATCATCATCATCATCATCGTCGTCGTCGTCACCATTTCCATCATCATCGTCGTCATCATCGTCACAATCATCGTCACCATCATGATCATCATCATCGTCATCGTGATCATCATCACCATCGCCATCCCCATCACCATCACAGGCACCAGCATGAGCACCATCCTCATCATCACCATCAACACCAATGTCATCATCTTCATCGTCATCGTCATCATCATAACCATCTTGAGGACAACCCTCATCATGAACACCATCACCATCACCATCATCGGCAGCGTCATCATCATGATCATCATTGTCGTCATCATCCCCCTCGTCATCATCATCGTCATCGTCTTCGTCGTCGTCATCATAATCACCATCGTCATCATCATCATCATCATCGTCGTCGCCATTATCACCATCGTCGTGATCATCATCGTCACCAGCATCACTATCACCATCACCATCATCATTATCACCATCATCACCATCATCATCACCATCATCGTCTTCGTGACCATCATCACCATCGCTATCAACATCACAATCACCAGCATCATCATTGTCATTACCCTCATCGTCATCATCATCAACACCATGATCATCATCTTCATTATCATCATCGTCGTCATCATCATCGTCATTATCATCACTATATTGAGCACTACCCTCACCATGCACACCATCACCATCACCATCATCAACATCATCATCATCGTCGTCGTCGTCACCCTCGTCATCATCATCGTCGACGTCATCGTCGTCGTCATCATCATCATCATCATCACCGTCGTCATCATCATCATCGTCGTCGTCGTCCTCTTCATCACCATCGTGATGATCATCATAACCATCTCCATCAACATCACCATCACCATCGTCACATCAACATCATCATCACCATCATCACCATCACCATCACCATCACCATCACCATCATCATCATCATCATCATCATCATCATCATCATCATCATCATCATCATCAGCATCATCATCATCCGGAGCGCCCCGGATCGGCGCGCTGGCCGGTGGCCACTACAATATGTATACATACAAGTGGCACCTGCATGCCCAGGCTCATGCGCGAAGAGGAATTGCAACACGTAGGCATCGCAGACGAATATGCAAGAAAAGAATTCTGAGGTCGGATCCGGGGAGGATGAGCAGGAAGGGCAGATGGAGAAGCAGAGGAAAAAGGAGAGGAGGAGGATCATGAGGATCTCCAGGGGGCTGTTGGAAAGGAGGGGCAACGGCTGGATCGCAGTCGAACGCAGGTGGGGGTGCCACACCTTGCGATGTATGTGGCGCAGGAGTGTTCCACACCTTGCGGTTGCGGTCGACAAGAATATCCGAAGCCATCAGTAGGAGGATATCTCGAACCAAACTGTCGTTTTGAAGATTATGATGACAACTTTGAATACGTCTGCTTTCAATGTTGGGGGATGTCTTAAGCGAAACGGCTGACGGCGTCCCATATCATTGAACTCGCTGGTGCTTTGAGAATTTTGCTTTAATGTGTTGAAGAACCCGTGTTTTTGGACCGTGATCTCGCGACGCGCGTGATGGGCGCGTCCGAGTTTCAGATATTGAAGTTGTCCCGAAACGGCCAGAACAAAGGCACACGGCTACACAATTCATCGCCTCTGAGCTCTACTCCCTCGGAAAGGATCGTATCATCATATTTGTACCTCTCTGATGTTTTACTGTTCTCTCCCTCTCTGATCTCTCTCTCTCTCTCGTTCTCTCCCTCTCTCTCTATACATATGTGTGCCCTTACCTATTATGTACAGTGCTGCTTTCATATTACCATACGAAAAAAACTAAAAACAAAGGCCATGGTCAATAAAAGCACCCGCAGCACAACCCGTCAGCACGCAGCCACCCAAGTCACAGCCGCCCGCCTCCCCCTCCAATAGAAACAACGTCGATCCTCATCCCTCCTGCTCCTTCCCACCACCGCCTTCAGCGTCTCGTCCAGCTCGACGTCGCCGCCCTCGGGGTCCATCGCGCCCAGGCCCTAGCGCTGGGAAGGGAGATGGTGGCGTGGGCACGAGGGGGCGGGTGCCACGAGGAGGAGGGTGAGGAGGAGGAGGGTGAGGAGGAGGAGGAGGATGATGAGGAGGAGGAGGCGGACGATGCAACTGCGGCGACGAGGACTAAGATGCCGAACGTCGGAAGTGTAGGACCCACCCGTGTAGGAGAACCTCTGCGTTCATGGTTTGGATCCACCGTTGCACATCGCAAGAAGGGGGGAGGAGGATGAGGATGAGGAAGACGACTAAGAGGAACAAGCATACTAGAGGGCAGTGAAAATGACAACTGTAAGGGTAACGGATGTGAGGATGCTGAGGGTGACACAGATGACTACAATGGGCGAGACATACAGCCCTGAGGTTCACAGGAACTAGACAAGGGCTCCCACCGTAGGATCTATCTACACTAGTTCCCATCGTACAGCTTAGCTCCGAAGCATGTTATTCATTCATGCCGTATGTCTTGACCACGTCTGTACGATACTGCTCACGTGCATCGCTGAATCGATCATAAGACATAGAAACAACGCCAACAAGATGCACTCGCATGCTAACACGTGTAGAACTGTGGCCCACTTCCGTGCGGAAGCACACCACCCTGCCGCCGTGGTCTCGGCTGCCGGTCGCTGCGGCTGCGATCGCTAGCCGTCCGTTCTGGCCCAGTCTGACGATGGCGCCCCCCCCCCCTCGGGCACCGAGGGGCCAGGCCCCAAGAAAGGCGCGTCTCGGGGGGGGGGATTCCAAGATGTCGAGGAGCTGTACCGGGAGCTCGCGGAGCACATCGTGAGTCCAGATGCGTTGCTGGCCTGGCGCCCCCGCTCGTTCGATCTTGTTTTTTTCTCCTCAGGTGCAGATGGATCGAGTTGGTGAGGAGGAGGAGGAGGCGGAAGGCGGAGGAGGAGGAGGAGGAGGAGGAGGAGGAGAGGAGGAGGAGAAGAGGAGGAGGAGAGAGAGGGAGGAGGACGAGGAGGGAGGAGGAGGAGGAGGAGGAGGAGGAGGAGGAGGAGGAGGAGGAGGCAGGAAGAGGAGGGGGCGGAGGAGGAGGAGGAGGAGGAGGAGGAGGAGGAGGAGGAGGAGGTGGGAGGAGGGAGGAGGGAGGCGGAGGGAGGGAGGGAGGAGGAGGGAGGAGGAGGGGGAGGAGGGGGAGGAGGGGGAGGAGGAGGAGGAGGAGGAGGAGGGAGGAGGAGGAGGAGGAGGAGGAGGAGGAGGAGGAGGAGGGAGGAGGAGAGGAGGAGGAGGAGGGAGGAGGAGGAGGAGGAGGAGGAGGAGGAGGAGGAGGAGGAGGAGGAGAGGAGGAGGAGGAGGAGGAGGAGGTTTTTGCCAATGCCTTTTTGAGGTTTCGTGCCAATTACGTGCCCGAATGCTTCGTGCAGTTCTTTAGCCTGAATGAGTTTCGGTGGCGCCTACCCTCCTTCGTCCCTCTTGTCCTCCCTCCTCTCGGCCTTCCTTCTTCTGTGCCTCTCCTCGTATGTGCCACCTTAGCTCTGCCTTGAGTTCGTGTTTGTTGTCTGATTTCGACCCGTCCACTCCAGCCATGCGTCCTGGAGAGGGAGCCACGGGGGATGGCGATTGTTTGACATCGGCGGGGACACAGTGATCCCACGCCGCCCATCGGTCGCCGCTGATCCGTCGAGCAGGAGCGTCTGCGGCAGCGGCCCCTGCAGTCTTGTGGCGGACTCTCGGCCGACACGCCTAACCCCGGTGGCCATGCGTCCCAAAGTGGGACACATGCCGGGGTTGCGGATCCAGCAGGAGGAGGAGGAGGAGGAGGAGGAGAGGAGGAGGAGGAGGAGGAGCGGAGGAGGAGTC